CAAAAAATCTTATTAGAGGGGTTTGATGAGTTAAAGTTTCTTATTACACTTTTAACAAATTACTTTTTTTTCCTTTCATAATTGTTGTTGTTGTTCGAGTGAGTGTGAGAAGAATGGATATTGAAAGAGTTTTCATGAGTTGTTACAAGATCGAGGAGCAGCCTGATGATATTTTCAACTTGATCGAATTAGCTCTGCATGTTGGTGCATTCAAGTATCAGCCACAGTTTGAAAAGCGCAAAGCCAGGATAATCAAGTTCCTGATGAATCCCTCGATAACATCAACTGATGATGATGATGATGATGAAGAAGAAGAAGAAGAAGAGGTTATCGAGGACAATGTTGGTGATCAAGATGACGTGACCAGCATTGAAGAGCCTGAGAAAGAAGAAGAGGATGGGTTAGGAACACAACAAAAAACTGCAGAAAGCAACAAACCCTTGGTGACGAAGATTAGAATAGTCATCCGCAAGTCTGTACAAGTTGCTGCTGCAGAGAAACAGAACAATTGCAATGCAATAACAGAAACCAGAACGGAGTTGAAGAAAACTGACTTGGTTCAACAATTGGATAAACAAGGAACACCACAGTCCCATAATAGTACTACTATGCCATCAAGAAAGAGGATGAACGAGTCCACCAAACTAGTACAAGTTGCTCCTCCTCGTGTAAGACTTCTTTCTGATTTATCTTTCGAGAAGCACCTTGACAGAGACAAGCAGAGCCACAAAGGTTTCAAGAAGATGGAGAGTGATCATCACACAGAAAAGAAGAGAGAAGAAGGAGCACAAAAGACCCCTACCCAATGCAGGAGAAAAGAGTGCACCACTGGTTCAACAAAGAGCATGCTGCAGCCATTGATGAAGATGAATGTAGAAGTTGCTCCTCCTCCCCATCCAAAACAAAGCAATTGCAGTTCAAGTACAAGACCAATGCAGAAAACATCACAAAGCTCTTCAGTTGCAAGACCAATGCAAAAAGAAACACAAAGCGACAGTGATATGAAGAAGAAATTTGAATCAAGCAAGAGGAAGTTTGAACAAAGGTTAGCAGATCAAAGGGAAGCCAAGAGACGGATTGTAGTGGTAGACTTTCATCAAATGCCTAAATCTGCTAATGACCCTCCTGCTCCCAAGTGCTGTTGGAATAGGAAAAGGTTTTGAGATTATGATGATTCGAGTTGTTGTAAATTTCTCACCAGAATTTTTGTTCTTACTTTTTTGTCTTGTTATTTTGGAGAGTATCAGCCTTCGCTTCATTTTTTGTATGTATGAATGATCTTTTACTTTGAAATAGAGAAGTTACATTCATAAAAACAGCTCGAAGGACATGATTACCTATGTCCTGGCTCTACGTTTTCTCTTGGCTAGTCGAGCCACATGATTACTTAAAACATCGCCAACAAACTGATTACACTTTTCTCTACAGAAAATCGATCACCTATTTAAGAGAGAAATAATTATTAAGTAAAGGGGCTCTCTAATCTGTAAGACTGTAACTACTAACTAACACATCCCCTTTTCATAGTCATACATTCACAAACTCAATCAGCTCTAAGTTCAAATTTAATATAGAAAGACTTGCAGGAGATAAGACATCTGGAAGTAGATCGGTTCATTTAAAATAAGAAATGAGAGAAGTAATAAACAAGACTTATTTTGCATGACAACAAAACTAAAATTACCTTATGAGGAGTATGTAAATCCAATGGCAAGGATTTTTATTGTCAATGTTGAATTAATAAGAGTAGAGATTCTTAAGAGCAGCAGAACACCTCAGCCTCATTTTCCTATAGTCTGGTTTGTTTCCAGATCTGCAATGAATTAGAATGCCTCCGCTGTTCTCCTAATAGCAGTATTCATGCCTAAATTCTTACTCTATCGCTGGCACAAAAAGTCATCAACCATTGGAATCGAGTAAAATTCTGACCCGAGGATGATCTCATGAGCTTGAAAAAAGATTGTTGTCTCAAGGTTAAGTTGATAATAAAGATGTTTCTTATTTGTGCCAAACAACTGTTATTGTTCAAGATGTGCTAAAGAAATATTGAATGATTATAAGAAGAAACTGAAGTCATAGATGAATAAACGATCTTTTGTTCTGTATTTTAGTTATTTGGCAGCAGTAGTAAAGTAGCAATATCAGAAGGAGATTCTAATAAATGAAAGTAAGTTTTAAAACTCTGTACCGCTATTTGTTGCAGGTAAACCCAGTCAAATTGCTTAGATGAGCTAGATATTAGATGCCTCGAAATAGACCATCTCGCTCCATTTAAAACATAACCAGTTGCCCTGCCACAGCTCATTTTGGCTGAAGCTAAAGTGAAACAGAAAATCCTTTACGATTGCTACCACTTCAATTGCATCCAAGCTCCACCTGTAATGCTATTGGTAAAAGAATAAACATCAGCCCACCCCCTGCAACTAATAGTATACACTATCACTTAAAACCTATACAGTTGCATTTGGATAACAAACCCAAATCAACTCAGTTTCGGACAACTGATAACGGGAACACATAGCTTGTAACATGGTGATGCCGCAGACTGACTTTCTAAGCCAATGGTATTTGAGTCTCTGGTCTCACTGTCTGCTAACCTGCCTGAGTTTAAAAGTTCCCATCTTGAATATACAGAAAGCCACTCAATTTACAAATCTTGTAAATGCATACATATAGATGTTCAGGTCTGGCGAATTTTGAAGATTTATAGCAAGTATATTACTGTAACACTACTTATCCTGATGGATTAAGTTAACTGGTTCCATCACTTCTTTTCTTTTGGCATAATATCAATATCATTCAGCATAGTAAAAAAATTTGTAGGCTGCACTCTTTCTATCTCTTCAGAAAATTGATGACCTATTTAAGCAACAAACAATTAGAAAGGGATTTCTGATCTTAAGACTGTAACTAGTAACCAACGCATCCCTCTTTATAGTCACATATTCACAAACTCAATCAGCTCTAAGTTCAAATTCAATTTAGAAAGACTTGCAGGAGACAAGATATCTGAAAGTAGATTAGTTCATCTCAAGTTAGAATGAGAGAAGTAATAAACAAGGCTAAGTAAGTAAATGCATAGGCTGAACGTTTCTGATTCAACATAGCAAGGATATTTACTGTCAACTTTGTGGTCTAAATTTGTCATCTCTGTGTTCGCAGGAGATGAAATCTGAAAAAGAATACCTCAGGCTTAGTTTAAATGTAACATCTGCAGCATCATGTTTCATGAAGTTAAAATCAAACGTAAACTTCTTCAAAACAGCTACCACTTCAACCTCATAACTTTAGAAAGAAAACTAAACATCGACCCAGCCCCTACAACTAACTGTATCTGTAAACAATCAAATTTGATTAACAAAACAAAATCAAATTCAATTTCAAAAAGGTACAAAGGATCTGCAGAGTTTCTACCATTACAATGCTAATAAATGAGGACTAATAATAAGTCGTTGATGATACATATACTTCTCCCCTCAATAGCAGCATACAAGGCAACAAATAATTTAACAAATGAACTTTGTGCAGAAGAGGAAAATTTATGAAAGGCGTACACTCTACACTACCAAAAGGCGAAATCAATAAAGAAGGAAATGTAAAATATAATCCAGACCATAGTATGCGCAGAAGCTTTAATTGAAACAAAATGAACTACATATTTCATTAATCAGACTTCAGAATAGTACTAAACCAGAAGTTTACATATACTTTGATTGAAAAAAGTCATTTGATTTACATAGCCAATCCTAACATTCAACAAAGATTCCTAAGCCCTTTCTCCACGAATCCTCCTAGCAAGCTGAATATCCTTGGGCATAATAGTGATCCTCTTGGCATGGATTGCACAAAGATTGGTATCTTCGAAAAGCCCAACTAGGTAGGCCTCAGCAGCCTCTTGTAGAGCAGCCACAGCACTGCTCTGAAACCTCAGATCTGTTTTAAAATCCTGAGTAATTTCCCTCACTAGCATCTGAAATGGGAGCTCCCTGATTTACTCAGTAGACTTTTGGTACTTCCTGATTTCTCCAAGAGCCACAGTTCCTGGCATGAACCAGCTAGGCTTCTTCACTCCTCCAGTGGCAGGAGCTGACTTTCTTTGCAGCCTTTGTGGCTAGCTGCTTCCTTGGAGCCTTTCCTCCAGTGGATTTGCGGGCAGTTTGCTTGGTACAAGCCATGTCAATTGAATGCTAAAAGGAAGAAAAAAATTGGTAGATTGAGAAAAGCTTTAATTGTCCATTAGTGGTGAATTTGAGAGATTGTATATGAGTGAAGTAGGCAGTGAAATTGGAAGTGTATAACAGCTGTTGGATTATATAGATTTGGTGTTAACGGTAGACATCTCACAAACAAATGTTTGCCTAAACCTGGTATGCAATCAGGATTGTATTTGAGTGGCCTCACCATCTGCTGACATACCTAAGTTTAGAAGTTCCAATCTTGAAAATACAGAAAAACATCTCAATTTACAACTCTTTTAGGGCATACCAGCTGTTCAGAAGACATTGATATCCACAAATAGAGTTTCAGGTCAATTTCAAAAATCTCTAGTAATCTGGTTAGCCAAGTATACTTTAGCATACTTCCACATCATAATAGGATTATAAGGCCACAAAAGTGTTAAACTTGTGTGCATCAAATATAATGACTTTTGGTCAACAAAATATACAACTCGGAAGCTTGTACACGCTAGATCTAGCATAGTATTTTGGGATCTAGATGCATTTATTCGTCCCCAAAGTACATGGCAACAGCAAGCAGTGAACTAGACCAAGGAAAAGATAAATTGCTGAAAGCTCAAAGAATATGGCACCAAAAAGCCATAGCTGAGATTGGTGCAGCTGCAATATTGGTGCTGTTGCAATTTAATATTTCCATTTAATCACCTTTTAATATAAGCCAAGTCATCAAATACTATGTATTACTTCAATCATTAATCATTGGAAATTTTGAATCATCAGTACAGATGTAAGGGAAAGATCTTAGATTTTTAAAAAAAGTACAAATTTTCATTAATCAGATCCAGAAACTGGTAAACCAGCAGTTTACACCTACTTCAACTAAAACTATCTATTAGGATTTACACCACTAAGCCTAGCAGATAAACCCTAATTCACTTTAACCATTAAAAGTTTCTTCTTAAGCCCTTTCTCCGCGGATCCTCCTAGCAAGCTGAATATCCTTGGGCATGATAGTGACCCTCTTGGCGTGGATTGCACAAAGATTGGTATCTTCAAAGAGACCAACGAGGTAAGCCTCAGCAGCCTCTTGTAGAGCAGCCACAGCACTGCTCTGGAACCTCAGATCTGTTTTGAAATCCTGAGCAATTTCCCTCACGAGCCTCTGAAATGGAAGCTTCCTGATCAACAACTCAGTAGACTTCTGGTACTTCCTGATTTCCCTTAAAGCCACAGTTCCTGGCCTGAAACGGTGAGGCTTCTTCACTCCTCCGGTAGCCGGAGCTGACTTTCTTGCAGCCTTAGTGGCTAGTTGCTTCCTTGGAGCCTTTCCACCAGTGGATTTGCGGGCAGTTTGCTTGGTACGGGCCATTTTGATTTTTACTGAAGAAAACTCGAGTTCTGTTTCAATGGTGAACATGGATGAATGGGTAATGGAGGATTTATACAGAGAGAAAGGCGGGAAGGTTGAAAATTTGGAGAAGTGTTTAAATTTTTGGCATTGAGAGTCAATCTAGACTGTTGATTTTGATTTTGTGTTAACGATGGAGATTGGAGAAGAGATGATTACCCGGATGTCGATCTAAGTAATACTAAAGTAACAAATGCGTAGTCGCCACGTGGATATCAAATTTAATTAGTCCGTAATTGTTTTCTTTTGTTTTGTACCACACAAGATTAGGTGGGTTATTTAACTTGATAAACATGGTGTTATTTTGTGAATAATTTGTTGAAACCGTTAAAAAATAATTTCCAAAAAGAGTTAAATAATGGGTTTTTTTACCTTTATTTTACATCTAAATCATGAACCTTACTGTAATGGATCTTTTAATTTTCATAAATTAAAATTACTAATTTCTTGAATCCATGACTATATATGTAAGAGACTATTTATTGGCATAAACTCAGTAAATTTATGTTATTTTGACTATGGTTAAATCGGAAGTAGGATTGAAAGATGAATTAAATTTGTGATTGATGGTATTAACACGTTTAGTATATTTTAATTTTTGGATTTTATTATGTATAGGTTGAACTCCAAGGAGTCGTTTGGAATAGACCAAGATATCTCATGAGATTATTTTATTCCATATTAAGATAGTGAAATAAAATGATCTCGAGACTAAATAATACTCATTGCCAGACTAAATAATCCTGCCATTCTAGTTAGTCTTGACCTTACATTAGTTTTCCGATGAACTTATAATTCTTATTTTCCAACTTAATTAACTATTTGCAAAGCACTAATAACACTTATCATAACCAGTTCAAATGAGGAAGGTGAGTCATGAGAATTGAATTTTAACTACTTATTTACAAGCATAAAAATCATGATCATATTAGTAAAAGAGTTAGTTAGCTCATCAATTAAATTAACCCAACTAACTCCCTATATATACAATTCAAGTGTCACTCCATTTTCCACAAACTCCTCCAAATTGTGTAGTAGTCCAAAATTTTAAAAATATGAGCAAAAACATGATGACTAGTCGTACTTTAGTAATGCTCATATTTGTAATAACATACAGTATCGCGGTGAAAGGAAGCAATGGTCATCCTTGTAGCAGCACATTCTTTTCAGCGTTGATTCAGCTGATACCTTGTAGGGCATCGGTGGTTCCGTTCAGTTCGGTACCACCGAGCGAAGCGTGCTGCGCTTCCATCAAGGCTTTAGGGCAGCCGTGTCTGTGTGTTCTTATCAATGGCCCTCCTATTTCTGGTGTTGATCGAAGCATGGCCGTACAGCTTCCTGATAAGTGCACTGCCAACTTTGAACAATGTAAAAATCGACCTCTATTTTAATTATCTCATTTCTTTCCTCTCTTATAAACTGTTCTGGAAAATATTTTTGGTATTAATTGGTTGGCAAGTGAAAAAATAACTAGTATAAGGATTAATTAAAAAAAAAAAGATAGTGTAATTTTGATCGATGAAATTTTTGAATATTTAGTTTTGACGATTAATGAATATCTATTTTGAACAATTTTGAAAGTTTGTAAAAGAAAATGATTTGTGTTCGTGAAGGAAGTTATTTTTCCCCTTTTGATAAAAGAATATATTCTCTAGTGACCAAATACAAGAAATAATTGTCTTTATGATAGAAAATATTTTTTAAATGACTTTCGTTGTACTATCTCAATGAAGTTTTTGTTATGAAAAAGCTTATAAGTACAATTAATTGACCATCAGAACTTTCACTTTATTGGTGAGGATTCGATTCTATACCTTGTAATCTTCTTCTCATTTCTCCTTCTCACGCTCGTAAATTGTTTTTGTTTTTATTAAAAAATTATCTGTTGTCTTTCTCTTTTACAGGTGAATTTGGAAAGTAGGAATACTAGATTGATTCTAGTAGGTGTGGTGAAGGAAGAAGTCTAGATCAATAAATATGTGCAGGGGAGCTTAGCAACTCTGAACAATTAGAAATATGTACTAAATCAAATTAAGTGTTTACTTAATTGTTATAATAGTTTATTTAGCTTGTCTTAATATCCTTGTTATGGTAATAATGGCCAACATTAGTATTATGTAATGCAAAATGGTCGCTTTGAAATGGTAATTAAACATTACTCCTAAGGAATTAGTGAATATTTATCATTTTGCTGTCATTACATTTATTCAAATTTATGCGCTTATCAGGCATTACAAAACAAAAATAAGTATCAATCAATATATCTATCATATAATTGGCTAATAGTGGTGTTGTGAGTGGTAGCTAGCGATGATAGTACGTAGTTGCTAGTAAGTGGTTGATGGTGATAGTTGGTGGCATAGACTAATAGTTTTGATGAATGATAGTGATAGCTAATAATGGTGGTAACTGGTGATGGTGGTTGACGATATATAATGGTGAATGATAATAATGATTATCTGTTGTAATTAATAATGATGGTTGAACTCAAAATGCTTATATATCATATGAACATGCGAAGAAGAATGACTAGATTTCATTTTTATTTATTTTTATTTTATAAGATACAAACCTATCATAAAGTTATATATCAACGTGTATCTAATTAATATCATCAAACTGTATTAATTGTTGAGGTTAGTTCTTAATTGATAAATATAGTTTTTATATACCATGCGTGTATCAAACACCACGGCTAAAGGTATGGCAAACACCACAAAAATAAACTTAATTATTGAATTTCTAGTTATTACACTCTAAAAAATTGACATGATTACTTTATAAAAAATAATTCATACATTATGGAAAAAAAATTATAGGGAGTTTTTTAAATTTTTTATGTTAAAATATTATTATTTTTTTCCTCACAAATTCAATCAAAATATATGTGAGACAGTAAAAATAACCATGAACATTTTCATTTTTCACTATATTCATAAAAGCACACCAAATTTTTTTTTAACTTTATCAGCAATTGATGCAAAATCGAGTGATCCTGTGATTTTGAAAAAGCTGTATTTGAAAGCCTCGAAATATTTCCAGGACCACATTCAAAAAAAATCGAAGAGAATTTAAAAAGGAAAACTTATCTAAATATATCATATTTAAAAGATATATATCATTTATAGCTATATATTTTTTTACCAAAATAAGTCTAATATATTTAAGACACTTATAGTACATATATAATTTACTTTTAACACATAATACAATGATTATAAATGCTAAACATTTTTAAAATATGGTATATTAAAGTACTCTACAAATAAAAGAATATGTTTGAAAGTAGTAAATATTTTATATAAGCCCTCAAAAAGGTAATTATCCCTTTAAATAAAATAAAAAAGGAAAGACTAGAAAATGTAAAGGCTAATTAATGTGTTTGTGATAACTTTCTCAATTAATTACTTACTCTGGTCTATATTAAGTGAATTGAAATATGACATATCTTTTAAAAAAAATATTTAAGTGAATTGATATATGACATATCTTTTAAGAAAAATATATAAGGAAAACAATTTAAAAAAATATTTTTTACTCTCTTCTTTTTAATTATCTCTAAATCATTCTCCTAAAAAAATGTAATATAATTAATAACCTCATTTAAGAAAGAAGATAAACATGGAAAAAGATCCCAACAATTCAATTGATCTTTTAAGAAATTCAATCATTTTTAACTATAAAAAGAAATTGTAACAATACACTTGATATAAATTAATTGGTGAAAATAAAATCAACCATTCATTTCATTTACGTAGACAAAATCACAAAATCAATCACATTCTATTTCTTCTACTTTTGCATGATTTTACCAAAAAAATTAAAAAATTCTATCTAGGCATGTGAAGTTAATCTTCTTTTCAAACTCATTTATATATACAACTTCTAAGTTCAATTTATCACTCAAACTTATATATACACCATCAATTTCAACACCCAAATATCTTCAACTCAAAATAGTTAATAATCATCAATATGGAATCACATTTCCAACTGGTTCTCATCCTTCAACTTCTCTTTTTCATTGGTGAGTAGATCATCAAACCTCTCTACAACCATCATCATTAGTCATACTTTATATGAAATTAATTTTCATGTTATGCTATATTATATGTGGTCTATAATAACAATATTATATTGTTATATACAGGTGGAGATTGTGCAGTTTTCACATTGAAAAACAATTGTAATGTGACAATATGGCCAGGAAGTTTATCAGGAGCAGGTCATCCCCTACTAATTAATGGAGGTTTGGAATTGCAACCATATGAGACTACAGAAATCAATGCACCTACTGGTTGGTCAGGTCGCTTCTGGGCACGAACCCACTGCCAATTTGACACCTCAGGTAATTAAACACGAGTACGTCAGTTGTGTCAGGACGTGGTACTTTTACTGGTCACTTTTAGCATATCAAAAGAAAAAAAATATTTTTTTCATGCTTTATACTCTCAACATTTTTGTTAGTTATTTCTCAAATTATTTTTCAAGACCTAAGACTAAACGTGGGTTTGTGGCTAAATACTCATATATATTGTTGTTTCTTGACTTGTATTAACTTCGTGTGGCTAGTAGGGGAACTTTAATGTAATTGTGGATCAAGATCTATTAGAAAAAAAACTTGGGGGTTGGCCCAACATAATCCTCCTAAGAGGTCGTCAAAGATGGTGAGGATCATATAGTTAGCTAACGAAGTTGATGTTGAAATAGAAAGAAGGCTAATAAAATAAGGGGCATGCAAAGTTTAAATTGGACATGTACAAGTGGTTGGAGGGAGTAGTATATTGTACATAATTCTTTTTTTACCCATAATATCCTTACTATGTGACGTTTTCGTCTTTTCATTAAAAAAATCTTCTTTCATGTCCTAAAAGTTGAATTGTAACAATAGACTGATGTTATCTAATTACTCTAAATTCTGCATACGCCACTGCAGGTAAAGGGACATGTGCCACAGCAGACTGCGGCGGAGTACTCCAATGCAATGGTGCTGGTGG